TAGTAGAAGTGGCAATCTTATCAAAAGCAATCTACAGGATTCAATGCAATCCCATCAAAATCCCAGCATTATTCTTCACAGATCTTGAAAGAACAGTACTTAACTTTATATGCAAAAACAAAAAATCCAGGATAGCCAAAATAATGCTTTACAATAAAGGAACTTCCAAAGGCATCACCATCCCTGACTTCAAGCTCTAATATGGAACTGTAGCAATGAAAACAGTTGGTATTGGCACAAGAAAAGACTGGTGGACCAATGTAATTGAATTAAAGACCCTAATATTAATCCACACACCTATAAACAACTGGTTTTTGAGAAAAGTAAAATTAAACAATGGAAAAAAGAAAGCATCTTCAACAAATGATGCTGGCATAACTGGATACTGACTTGTAGAAGATCACAGATAGATTCATATCTCTTGCCATGCACAAAACTTAAGTCTAACTGGATCAAAGAACTCAACACAAATTCAGCCATACTGAGCCACTTAGAAGAAAAGTGGGAAGTACCCTTGAATGACTAAAACCAAAACACTAGTGAAAGCTTATTCAGGGGAGTATTGTAGTAAGGGTAACTATCATGGAAATATTAAGCTACACAAAGTAGGGATGTCTTATATTTTATTGAGGGAGAAGTCACTTACATGAGAAACCAAGAAAGCCGAGAAACAAAGGTCCCCACACTGCTCTCCAGGACACAATCTGAACACAAAGAAGAGAGTCTCCTCCCTCCCATCTCTTTTAACCCAAATGGGTGTGTTCTGTGCTAGGAGTACATAAGATCTCTCCCTACAGGGTAAATTCTACCATTACTGGTGGGAATGCAAACTTGTACAGTCACTTTGGAAATCAATATGGTGATTTCGCAGGAAAATGGGAATCAATCTACGTCAAGAACAAGCAATTCCACTCTTGGGCATATACCCATGGATGCATATTCAGACCACAAGGACATCTGTTCAACTATATTCATAGTGGTATTATTGGTAATAGCCAGATCCTGGAAGCAACCAAGACACCCCTCAACCAAAGAATGGATAAAGAAAATGTAGTATATATATATGTATATATATACACATATATATACACATATATATATGATGAAGTATTACATAGCAAAAAAAATGGAATCTTGAAATTCGCAGGCAAATGGATGGAACTAGAAGAATCCATCCTGAGTAAGGTAACCCAGTCACAAAAAGACAAATATGGTATGTAATCACCCATAAATGGGTATTAGACATAGAACAAAAGATTACCAGCCTACAACCCACACCTCCAAAGAAGCTAGAAAATAAGGAGGACACTAAGAGAGACATACATGAAACCCCCTGAGTATGAAAAGGTGAGAAGATCTCCTGGGTAAATTGGGAATATGGAGGGAGGAGGAGGGAGTTAGGATAGAGAAAAGGGGAGAATGGAGAGGAAGAGGACATGAAACATCAGAAAGGTCGAGTTTGGGGAAGGAAAAAGAAAGATCTAAAAAGATACACTGTGAAAGAGGGAGCCATTGTGGAGTTAAATAGAAGCTGGCACTGGAGAAATTCCCCAGAATCAAAAGAATAACTCCAACTAGGAATCTAAGCAATAGCAGAAAGGATACCTTAAATGTCTGTCCCCTATAATGAGATTGATAACTCCCTTAAATACCATCATAGGGCCTTCATCCAGTAGCTGATAGAAGCAGAAGCAGAGATTCACAGCTGAACACTGAGCCAAACTCCTGGAAACCAGTTGTAGAGAGGGAGGAGTAATGAGCAAAGGAGTTAAGACCATGCTGGGAAACCCACAGAAATAGCTGACCTGAACAAGTGGGAGTTCACTGCCTCCAGTCTGACCTCTGGGGAACTAGCATAGGACCAAAACAGGTCGTATGAAAGTTGGGTGTCTTGGGCAGTCTACGGGATTGTTGGCAGTGGAACCAGTGCATGAACTGGTTTTAGGAGCCCATTCCCTTTGGAGAAATCTTACTCAGCCTAGATATAGGTGGAGGGCCTCTGTCCTGCTGCAAATGATATGGCAGATTTGAGTATCCCCCAAGGGAGGCCTCACACTCTCTGAGGAGTGGATGAGAGGTGGGAAGGGGAGATGATGGGGAGAGTGGGTAGATGGAAGGGAGATGGAACTGGGATTTTATGTAAAATAAGATTATTTTTAGACAAGTTCTTTGATGTGTTTCTGGTTGAGAATGCTGCTCCAATGAATCCCTACTAGAGACTTCCCAAATACAGGAATCATCCCATGGGCCATCACCAAGAGGCCATTGTAACTATACCCCATGGACCAGGCTACAATTTAAAATGGTGGTAGAATAGGGCTATATTTTAAATGTTCTGTTATTTTGGAAGCAAAGCAAAATACAAACATGAAGGGTTCAAGGTAGCTTACAAATAGGCTTAGGTAGTGTAAGGAAGACTCAGATTCTCAGCATATTGTCTAGGAGAGTAAAATCTTCTAGGATACCTTCTACTGAGGAAATCCATACACATGGCTTGGAGTTGAACAAGAACAGAGGAAATGTGGTTACTCAAGGAGATAATAAAGTATGATTTGCATTAGTGGGGACCAAATCAACCCAGTATTGATCTTTGATGTTGAATATCAATCTGAAATTCAGGGTGTTTGTAAAGTTATACTGCACTTTTTGCTCCAATTTCATCTTTTGTGATAACCGGATTCTGGTGATAAGTGAAGGCTGTAGGACTTTTAAGAGTCTGAGCCTATATGGTGGAAGTAGGTTATTTCTCACAGACAATTGGAGGTTCTATCTTTCTAGGCTTTGGCCTTCATTCTCAGGTCCCTTGTTCTATATTGTAAGAGTTTGTAGCTCAAACTCTCCCCACCTGTGGCTCTGAGAATCCTGCCATGTCTACACTGCAGTAATGACACAATATCTCTTCTAAAAAGGAAGCAAAATAAGCCAAAAAAGCCTGTCTTCCACTTCATTTTTCATTTGGGGTAATTTTTATTCAGAGAACAGGGGGAGAACCAACACAAATACAGAACAGTACTCTATGCATAAGTACATACAGAATTTGTATTATGAACTGATGTAAATATTGGATTCTATAAGGTAACTGGAATATGTGAACTGGAAAGGTGCATGTAAAGCAGTGCCGTAGCTTTAGGTTAGGACCTGAAGGTAAAAATATCTTTGTTGTGGCTGATGCTCCACCATAGTACTTGGATTTGTTGATGATAGAAGAATAAATTTTACATTGCTCATTTTCATAAATTTTACTCTTCAATCAGTGTCCTTCCTAGCATATTATTTGTTCTGGTGTAATTCCCATGACCAGGTGCTAAATAAATTTCTAAGTAATAGCAAGAGATAATTTTAGAAATGAATTTTCACTTCCCTTATGATCAGTTTTTTATAGCTCAGATGCTTTGAGAACAAAGTTCCAGCTTTTTCCATGAGCACTGCAGTGACAAAGACCTGCCCAGGAAATAAATGTAATTAATACTTCTCATTTGTGTCTCACTGAATTCATTAAGAAACTTCAGAGAAAGTCCCATGACCAAGGGTAGATGGTAACATAAAAAGAAATCAGTAGAGATTCACATTTGCTTTCTCTTTCTTTATTTACTTCTTTAATGGTACTATTCTGAAATGACTGTTTTATTTCTTTGTCTTTGATCCATATGTGCAGCTGAATCTCCACTTGAGACTGCTAACAGTGAGAGTTTCTGACTCTTTTGCTGACTTTTGAGACCCTGCTTCTCCTACTGGATTGGAACATTCAGCCTTAATATGAAAGGTCATGGCTTCTCCTACTGCAAATTGATGTGCCATATTTGGTTGATATTACTGGTTAGTCCTGCTCTTTTCTGAAGGGAAATTGAGGAGGAATGGATTTGGTAGGGAGGTGAGTTTGCAAGGAGGGGAGTGGAATGAGAGGAATGAGGGGAACCTGCATTTAGGATGTAAAATATTAGAGAAGTATAAGTAAATAGATGAATAGGTGAATAAATGAATACAGATGTACCACAGATAGAGTCTAGCCTTTTATTAATTTAAATATACAGCTTGAAATGATTTATCCCCTACACTATTTTTGTAAGTTTGTAGTTCTGTACTAAGAACAGAATGATTAGTGAGACACAGCAATATGCATAATATATAACACAGAAAAACTTACATATTGATTCAAATTTCAGTATACAAGAAAGGAGAGCATCAAAAAGTGTTATTCTCTGGATAGCTTTAATGAAATGGTGATGAATTTTAAGAAAGGGGTATTCATAAATATGCAGGATTCACAAAATAGATACTCAGTTGGAAGAATGTAGATCAGTTTATCAAAAATGAAGAATTGTGTGCAGGGGAATATACAAACCACTATTTAGACATTATAGACAGAAAGATCAATGAGTCCAACTTCTGATGATGTGGATACAGCTGGGTACTCGATATTCTTCGTAGTTTTAATAGAAGCTTCCTATAATTATCTGATACCTGGAGTACCCAGTTTTCTGATATCTGAATTTGGGTTGCCATATAAAGTTTTAAATTGGGCTTCTTTCTACTGTAGCATGTATCACATTAAGCAATCAGTTGGGAAAATATTTCCATCATGTCAAGATCTGATGTACCTTTTAAAATGTGTCTTTCTTCAGAGTGAGAGTATACATGAAATGAAAGGAGGATGCATTCATGTAACATATCAAGGAAATTAGAAACATATCAATACATATAGAAATGTTTGTTACATCACATGAAAAGTTATAAATTTTTGAAAAGGTAAAGAATAATATACAACTCATTTCTTTCCACTTTACTATTAATAGATATAAAATGAATTTATGGAAAATAATCTTCTAATGTAGAGAAAAATGTATATATGAGAAGATGAGAGCATAAAGCTGGATTTCATCAACACATGAAACCAATAAACTTATAACCTGCATCTGCAACATTATTGCTGATATTGGAATGGTATTTAACTTTTCTAAAGATTTTTTATGTGATTTACAAACACATGAAATTGTTGTATGTTAAAATTTTATTCTACAATGTGCTTTGCTCTTCATGCAACACAATGAGTTCCTTTCTGGTCTTAACAAAATTATGTAGCACTTGGGGGCAAAGATGCAGCCCAGGAGACCTGCACTGGAAGCCAAGATAGCAAAGACTTCCATGACCACCATGACCTTGCCCTTGGTGCTGTGGTAGACAGGAAGGAAGGTGACCCACACACAGAAGAACATCAGCATGCTGAATGTCAAGAATTTGGCTTCATTGAATGTGTCAGGTAGGTTCATGGAGAGGTAGGCCATAGTGTAGCTCCCAAATGCCAAGCAACAGAGGTATCCCAGGACACAGTGAAAGGCAAACTCTGAGCCCTTGTTGCACACAACGATGATGTGTCCATGTTCAGTGTGAGCATCTGGGTCAACAAAGGGAGGAGAGATGCTCAGCCAAATTCCACAGAGCACAAGTTGGATGAGGGTACAGATGGGAATGATGAAGTTAGGGACCCTTGATGTCATTAGCCACCTCACCATTCTCCCTGGAACAGTGGCCCTGAAGGCCAGAACCACAGTAATTGTTTTAGCCAGGACTGTGGAGAGAGCCACAGTAAACAAAACTGCAAATGTGCTCTGCTGCAGCACACACGTGACTGTGTTGGGATGGCCAATGAAGAGCAAGGGACAGAGAAAGCAGAAGGTCAGAGTGATGAGCAGGATGCAAGAGAGAGCCCGATTGTTGGCCTTGACAATGGGAGTGTGGTAGTGCTTCACAAAGACACCAAAAACACCAGCTGTGAGAAGAGAGCACCCCAGGGACATGCAGGAGAGTGCCTTTCCCAAGGGATCTTCATAGGATAAGAAAGTCACAGCTTTCTCAAGGCAGTGGTTCTGCTGTGCATTTGCATAGTGACTTTCTGGACACTTCACACAATTGTCCATATCTGGTCAGGAAAAAAATTACCTTAAGTCCATGCTCAGGCTTCCTCTTATCCCAATCTATTTCCCAGCAGCAGCTGTCTGGCATGTTACATACAACTCTTGCCTTCAGTGTTTTAGACTCAAGCAAATTAGTCCTCAATAGAGAAAATTCCTAAGTGGTCTGAAATCAATAATCCCATATTGATTCTGGCCATTGTCTTTTGGGAAACTTAATGTGAAAGTTTATATTCTCTTTATCTTTGTACTTGGATATGTTTGAATTTAAGTGACAACCTTCAACTATTTACACAGCCATAACTTACTGAATTAAGTTGCATAAAACCAACTTCTCATTAGACTCCCTCCTGTAAAACATCTCAAGTGTAAATTGCTTGTGTGAGCTCAGTACCAGGAAAATGTTCTCAAATGTCTTCCTTGTAATGGTGTTCCCTGTCATTGGGACAAAATTTACCTATTTTCATGGCATTTATTGGATTCTCTGGATCATTCCTATTCTAAATGCACATGCAAAATAAAAATTAGCAAATTTTCAAAAGCATGTAAACTTCCCTCTGTGAAACTGTTTAGTATTTTGTCATTGTCAGGGAAAAGTGTTATTTAAGATAAATGTACAGCAGTTTAAGTTTTATAACATAGAAATTTTGTGTGTGGTGCTGGCTGTCCTGTAACACACTCTCTAGATCAGGCTGGCCTTAGACTTATGCACAGATATGTATGCTTCTGTGTCTAGAATGATGGAATTGAGGCACGTGCCCCTTATGGCCAGCAATAAAAATCTTTTGCATTAGACTTAGTTTGTGAGAGTAACTTTTTGGTATTTCCCAGTAATAGTATGTGATATTCATATAAAATTAACAGGATATAAATATCAATTGTTTTCTTCCATATTTTCATTCTGTTAAAATAGCCAATATTTTCAAACTGAATTTGGTTTTTCAAGACAGATTTTCTTTGTAGCATTGGAGCCTGTCCTGGAAATCACTCTATAGACCAAGCTGTCATCAAACTCACAGAAATTCGTATGTCTCTGTCACCTCAGTGCTGGGATTAAGGGTGTGTGACACCACAATCCAGTTCATTATATATTTTTTGAAATCTTATTTACTAATTATTGAATTCATAATGTTGCTAGCGCAAAGGTTATCATTTTTAGTATTTATTACTGGTACCAAAAGCAGATTAAACAGACATATTCATATGAATGATACCACAAAAATTAGACTAACGCTTGACGTTAATGACTACCTTAAATGCTATCATAGAGCCTTCACCCAGTAGCTGATAGAAGCAGAAGCAGAGATTCACAGATAAGCACTGAGCTGAATTTGTAGAGAGGAAGGAGTAATGAGCAAACAAGTCAAAACCATGCTGGTGAAACCCAGAGAAATAGATGACCTAAGCAAGTGGGAGCTCATGGATTTCAGACTGACAGCTGGGGAACATGCATAAGACTGAACTAGTCTCCCTGAACCTGGATGTCAGCTGGGTGGCTTGAGCAGTTTATGGGGATTCTGGCAGCGAAACCAGTGTTTATCCCTATTGCATGAACTAACATTTTGGAACCCATTCCCTATGGGGGGATATACTATCAACATAGATATGGGGGAGGGCCTAGGTCCTGCCCCAAATGATGTGAAAGATTTGATGACTCCCCAGGGGAGGCCTCACCCTCCCTGAAGAATGTATTGGGTTTTATAGGAACATTTTGGGGGGAGTGGGAGGAAGGGAGAGGGAAATGGGATTGGTATGTAAATTAAGATCATTTTTAGTTTAAATAAAAAATTTAAGGAAAACACAAAAATATAAGAAAAAGGCCTTTCTTGCTCAGGGAACTTATCCTCTGATAGAGCAAATTTGTTAATTTTGTGTGAACTAATAAAATAAAAGATGCTGATTACAATGACTAATATTGATGTGATTTATAAATACACAGAAAACTAACATCTTGGTGAGTCTGTGGGGGCATGTTCAGTGGGGATCTTACTCACTCACTCTGAGTTTAGGTACCATTCCATGACATGAAGCCTGGGACTAGTTGAATCAAACAAAGCAAGTGGAGCTCACGGTATACATCTCACTTGCTGCTTCCTAACTACATTAGCAACATGATCAGCCCCTAATGCTCCTGTTGACATGAGCATAGTATTCACAAACTGAGAGCCAACTTGTCAAGTTTTTGGTCAAAGCATCATGGAAAGTAACTGATGAACATGTATGCACATATATATTACTCTTCAATAAAACAGAAGAGTTATGTGCCTTTTACATGATTACACATACTGCAATATTGAAACGCACATGTTTGGGGCTATTTCAAAATAAAGATGGACACATACTTTTTATTTATAGATATAACTTTATATAAAGATATAGTGATTAACATGGAAATTTTACAAGCATTACCAACAGAACAAGAGTAAGAAGAGAGAATCTCAGGTATTAAAGATACACTGGGAGAAATGGATTCATCAATCAAATAAAATCTTAAGTCCAACAAATCCTTAACACAAAACATCCAGTAAATATGGGACACCATAAAAAGGCCAAACCTAAGAATATTAGGTAGAGAAGAAGGTAAAGAAAACCACTTCAAACGGGCAGAAAACATATTCAACAAAATCATAGAAGAAAACTTTCCCAACCTTAAGAAAGACATGCCAATGAAGGTACAAGAAGCTTACAGAACACCAAATAGAGTGGATCACAAAAGAAGTCCCCTTGACACATAAAAATCAAAACCCCAAGCATACAGAAAAAAGAAAGAATATTAAGAGCAGCTAAGGAAAAAGGCCAAGTAACATATAAAGGCAAACCTATCAGAATTACACCTGACTTCCTGATGGAAACTCTGAAAGCAAGAAGATCCTGGATAGGCATTGTACCAACACTAAGAGACGATGGATGCCAGCCCAGACTACTATACCCGGCAAAGCTCTCAATCACTATAGATGGAGAAAACAAGATATTCCATGACAAAACTGGATTCAAGCAATACATATCCACTAACCCAGCCCTACACAAAATTTTGGAAGGAAAACTCCAACCCAAGGAAGTTAACTACAACCAGAAAAACATAGGCATTAGAGAATCCCACTCTACCGACAGCCAAAACAACAAAGTGGTGAAATTCCACACATAATTCCAACAACAACAACCATTGCAAATCAAAGAAGAATGAGCAATCAATGGTCATTAATATCCCTCAACATTTATGGCCTTAACTCACCCATAAAAAGACACAGGCTAGCAAAATGGATTCGAAGACATAACCCATCCTGCTGCATACAAGAAACACACCTCAGCCAGGCGTTGGTGGTGCACGCCTTTTATCCCAGCACTCGGGAGGCAGAGGCAGGCAGATCTCTGTGAGTTTGAGACCAGTCTGTTCTACAGAGCAAGTTCCAGGACAACCTCCAAAACAATACAGAGAAATCCTGTCCCAAAAAAATCAAAAAAAAAGAAAAAGAAAAGAAAAGAAACACACCTCACACTCAAAGACAGACATTACCTGAGAGTTAAAGGTTGGGAAAAACTTTTCCAATCAAGTGGACCCAAGAAACAAGCAGGGGTAGCAATCCTAATACCTAACAAATTAGACTTTGAAATAAAATCAATCAAAAGAGATGAAGGAGGTTATTACATACTCATCACAGGCAAAATACACCAAGATGAAGTGTCTATCCTGAACATCTATGCTCCAAATACAAAGGTATCCACATTCGTAAAAGAAACATTACTAAAACTTAAATCACATATAAAGCTCCACACACTTATAATGGGAGATTTCAACACACCACTCTCACCATTAGACAGGAATACCAGACAGAAACTCAACAAAGAAGCAAAGGGTCTAATAGAAGTAATGACCCAACTGGGATTAACAGACATCTATAGAACATTTCATCCACATAAAAAAGAATATATCTTCTTCTCAGCACCACATGGAACCTTCTCAAAAATCAACCACATACTTGGCAACATATCAAACCTCAGCAACTACAAAAAAATTGGATTAACTCCATGCATCCTATCAGACCACCATGTGATAAATTAGAAGTCAACAACGACACAAATTGCAGAAGCCCTAAAAACTCATGGAAATTGAATAATTCACAACTGCATCATGCCTGGGTCAAAGAAGAAATAATAAAGAAATTAAAGACTTCCTAGAATTCAATGAGAATGAAGATAAAATATACCCAAACCTAAGGGACACTTTGAAAGCAGTGCTACGGGGGAAGTTCATAGCACGAAGTGCCTATATGAAGAAACTGGAGAATAATTATACTAGAGAATTAACAGCACAGCTGAAAGCTCTAGAACACAAAGAAGCAAACTCCCCCAGGAGGAGTAGACGCCAGAAAATAATCAAATTGAGGGATGAAATCAATAAAGTAGAAACCAGGAAAACAATACAAAGAATCAATGCAATGAAGAGTTGGTTCTTTGAGAAAATCAACAAGATAGACAAACCTTTGTCCAAACATACCAAACAGCAGAGCGTGAACATGCAAATTAACAAAATCAGAAATGAAAAGGGGGACATAAAAAGGACTCTGAGGAAATTCAGAAGATCATCAGGTAATCTTTGAAACCCTGTACTCCACAAAATTCAAAAAATTAAAAGAAATGGACGACTTCCTGGAGAGCTATCACTTGCCAAAATTAAATCAAGAACAGATAAGCATTTAAATAGACCTATAACCCCTATGGAAATAGAAGCAGTCATCAAAAGTCTCCCAACCAAAAAAAGTCCAGGTCAAGATGGCCTCGGTACAGAATTCTACCAGAAATTCAAAGAAGAGTTTATACCAATTCTTCTCAAAGTATTCCACGCAATAGAAGCAGAAGGGTCTGTGCCAAACTCTTTCTATGAGGTTTCAATAACCTTGATCTCCAAGCCACACAAAAACACAACTAAGAAAGAGAACTTCAGACCAATATCCCTCATGAACATTGATCCAAAAATACTCAATAAAATACTGGCAAATTGGATCCAAGA